GAAGTTCCTACGATTTCTTTTGCCAAATTACAGCTCATTGAAGTAACCCTTGTATTTTCGACATTACCGACGATATCTCCGTTAAAAATCATCGTAGCAAGATCTTTTTTTTTAAATTAAAGCTTGCACTTTCAGCTTCAAAAACTAGTCACTAGATTTTTCCTCGAATGCATCTGCGCTGCTGTAGCTTTTAAAATGTAAGGACATGTTTTTACTTAAAAAATAATCAACTTTGGCCAGGTGCCCGGGCGTAGGAAATTTTTCCTCGCTAATTCTGCTTGAAGTATCAAAAGTGTGTACTTTTCCCTTCAATTAAAAAAAAAGAAGTTACTGCGATTTTTTTTCGCCAAGTTACAGCTTTTTGAAGTAACCCTTGCATTTTCATTCATTACCGTCGACATCAGCGTAACCCAATGTGCACGTGGAGGTTGCCGATCGGATTTTGCACATCGTGTGCTAACAACCAGTTTAAGCGTCCTACATAATTATTTTGATTATACAATAAAATTATTTTCAGATCTGCATCCAGTCAAATTTTTAGATACTTCAGTAAAATTATTTTTTCTTCATACAAGTTACATGAATTTATCTATAACGTGTATTACACCGAAGTTTTATAATCTTCACAATTAACCTTTAAACATTATAATTCAGGGAAGCATTAAACACCTCGCAGATAAAACCGTTTATCATAAACGCTACCGTTACAACAGTGGGCGGAACCTCATCGCAATCACCACATGATAATGAGGTCTGCAGCATCGTATGGATTATGTACAGAAAGGTCTCTCAAAGATGCCGACTAGCCGCGTGAGAGTGCGGTTCAATCCTTTCTCGGCGGATCTCTCTCCTGCGCGCGGAGACCCATCCACGGGGCCGTGCGAAGCAGGTATACGTTCACCATGCCTGCGCGACCTAGTAAAACTAGCACACCATCTAACAAGTACATCACGTAGATATAGGCTCCACAACGTCTGGCAAATGTGACACTATACATTAACGTCCATGCATATGTCGATCACATCTGTTAACCTACCATGAGAATGATATGAGGTTGGTAACGGTTTGAAAATTATTGAGTTAATTATTCAACATATCAATACATTATAACTTTGCTAACTGATAACGATTGAGCCAATCTAGGAGTCTTCAACGACTCGCTAAGAACTATTATCGTAAGATAGTTGTTTGAATAAATTTCTTAACTTTAAAAATTGTCCCATATTATTCCGAACATTTAGCAATCCGTTGAATGCAGAACTTGACTGTGTTAATGAAGATCGACAGTCGGAAATAATAGATCTTTAGGCCGAAGATAAGTTCGAAGGACTGTACAGAAGTAAAACATTGATAGAATTTATCTTCGGATGTTCCTAAATTTAAATGTTGCTAGAAACATAAACTCGCAATTTT